GGATGTTTTTGGTATATTAACATAGTATTTATTGAGAGCATTGCAAGCAAACTACTTATAAAGGAGTGCTTGCATTTTACAACGACAGATTGCTCGATTCTGAATTACTCATGACAGACTTATTTTTTTTGTATTTGAGAGACATTTGACTTTGTCACAGTTCTGAAAATGTGTTATTTCTGGTATGTTTAGATGGTGGGTTTTCAAAAGTAGTTAAATATTACAAGTAGGCTTTTTGTTTTTTCCTATTCAGTTTCCCATTAAATATACAAGTATAACATCTGGCACTCTTAAGGACTCTGGAAAAAGAGCAGCAAGGATTAAACTGAACATTTGACAAATCATCAGTTGTAATGTTTTCATCTAGAGTTGAATTCAAAGCTGACTGAAATGGCCGCGTCAGGAGCAGCCTGTTACAGAGGAGCCACTTCAGAGAATTCCTAATATGGCTGGGGCATTCCTGAGATGCGTGGAATAGCCATTTGTATGGTCTCATCCAAATGCGCGTGCAGCTCTAACGTGTCAAGGCACCAGGATGACAGCATCCGCAGAGCACTTCTTTTCTGTTATATGTCAGACCACAGCCCTGTTAGCTGATAGTGGCAGTTCTCCCTTCTTTGCTTCATTTTTCAATGGCAAATCCTTGGACTCAGAACTGGAAAGTCCCTTTTCCAGCTTGAAAGTCATATATCCTTAGAGTTGGAAGGGACCTCCATAATGACCTTCATCCAAACCCCTGGCATTTTTGCAGATGAGAAGAATGAGACACAGAGAGGTTAAGCAATTTGGCCACAGTCACCCAGCTAATTACTGAACTCTCCAGTCCAGCTAGACTCTTCCTTTAAAATGGGTAGGATGGCAGCCTCCCTCCTTCTTTCACTTTGTTATTTGCCAGAAGTTAGTTTTCCTTCACTTTATAAAGCCTCTTGGAAATAATCTAACTCCTTTGAAAGAAGAAAAGACATGTTTTATTCAGAAAATTTATTTTTGTTTTTTTTTCAAATGGGTTTTTGTTCTAAGCCAGTGTGACTCCCCTCTATCCTTAGAGAGCTTTCACAGCACGGTGTGACGTCTCTCTAATGGCTGGTGCCGCCCAGTTGGACATCTGTGTAACAGTTACAGCAAAACCCCATGCACTTTGTTGCATGGCATTGCCTCTAAATTCAGGAAAGTACAGATGCTAGAAACAGGTCAGCGTCGTTGCCTGGGTCTTTAGGGTAGGTGGTACTAGGAACTTCCCTAGAAGCAACCATTTATCAAAATGAAACTTTTCAAAAGGATCATTGATTCTTGAAATTAAAAATCTCACACCTCTGTCCTAGAACTGACTACTCCTGTGAATCCTGCAACTTCGCTGCTACTGGAGGGTGGGCATGCAGTGGGCAAAATGGTGCTTAGGGCATGGGCCAGTCCAGGGAAAGAATGGGAGATGTGAAAATGCGTTGTCAGTGAGAAGATGAAAAGAACTCCTGGGCGCTTACCATTTACTGTCTCAGCTTGGTGGGGAAAGGATTCAGCAACCCGCTCCTCAGGAACCACGATGTCTACTCAGCCCTGGCCTTCTCTGCAGACTTTCCCCAACACACAATAATCTTTCTGGTCCTGGTGTGGAGTTGGGGGCGGGAGCAGATGGAAAGCATTGCTCTGGCTTGTCATGCCGTCTGTGCTCTGAGACTCTAAGTGCTTGAGTTTAGAAAGCCAAAAGCCTTTTCTCTGCCTTCTGTGAGGCAGCGGACACCAGGAGCCTCCTTCTGGAAAAGGGGAGGGTCTCAGGGGGTAAGACAAGAAGGGAGAAACATCAATTACTAGCTCAAAAAAGAATTCCACTACATTTTTAAGAGCTCAGTTAAAGAAAAATAGGGACTGTTTAGTGTGATGTTCTCAATCTGAGCTGTTTCTAAGAGCAGCAAATGAAAGCTATCTGAGCTAAGCACACGAAATGGTGAGAAACTTCATCCTGGTGGATTTTCTTCAAATCTTGGGAGGAAATAAAACTTTTTCTTGCTATAGCAAAGCTTAACTCTATACCAAAATGGTCCTAGAATGTTGGAAGTCTGTGGGAATTCAGAGATGATCTGTACTGGATATTCTCTGTCCTTCCTGATCCGTTCTCCCTCCGTCTCTGTGCTGTTCTGAGTCCTGGGAGTCTGGTCTCCATGGGTCACATCAGTGGTCTTAGATAAGTCCCTCTGGCTTCTCTTGGATTTGGCTATGGGAGGAACTGGCTGTGCCATCCCTTGGTGGTTTCCTTAACCCTGTCCACATCTTATAAATAATCTCCTTCATTAAAACTCCCATTTAAGTGTGTAATCTCTTTCCTGCTGGGACCCCGAATATGGCCATTTGACGAATGAGGTAACTGAGGCAAAGGGCATTCCACTGGCTTTTCCAGTGGTGTCCCCTCCCTCCTCCTTTTCCCAGCCATGGTTGAGTATTCACCAACTGAGACCCTGAGGCCCTAGAATGCTGGACTAGGGATGAGGAAACCTCTGGCACCGTAGTCTGCTTTGCTCTAATGTGATGTCACATTTCTAAGAAACTTCTTTTTATTTAAAAATCGTATCCTTAAAATTGGTATATTGTATGGTATACATGCAATGGAATATTATTCAGCCTTAAAAAAGAAGGCAATCCTGTCATAAGCCACAACATCGGTGAACCTTGAGGACGTTATGCTAAGTGAAATAAGCCAGCACTGGGTGATCCCACTTTTATGAAGTACCTAAAGTAGTCAAACTCATAGAAGCAGAAAGTAGAGTGGAGGTTGCCAGGGGCTGGTGGGGAGAAAGGGGAGTTGCTGTTCAATAAAGTTTCAGTTATGCAAGATGCATAAGTTCTAGAAATCTGCTGTACAACATTGTGCCTATAGTTAACAACACGGTATTATATAGCTAAAAATTTAAGTGGGTAGATCTCATGTTACTATCATTATTATTATTATTATTATTATTATTATTAACTACACACACACACACACACACACACACCAAAGGATAAGAAGCAGAAAAAAAACCCAACAGTATTTTAATAGGTTAAAAAGTAGTTAGGGAGAGGAGAGTCCCCTGGGGGGCCACTGTCCACAGGGGCATGCCTGGGCTAGCTGAAGTCAGGAAATGCCTTCTTCCTCCAGGGAGGAAGCACCTGGTGCCAGGGCTTGGCCAGAGGAATGTGCGCTAAATTTATATCCCACCCTCCCCTCTGCCCCGTGCCTTGTGCACCCATCTCCCCACTCCAACGTGTGAGAAATCAGAATTTCCGGTCATGCTTTTGACCATGTGTGAGTGAATGAGTGTGTATGTGTGTGTGATAGAGACAGAGGCAGAGGCAGAGAGAACGGATCTGCATTCTTCTTTTAACTAACTTTCCTGAGTTCTCTGAAGAGTCTTTGTTAACTTCTCATATTTCATTGATTCTAAGACTTGTTTTATTTTTCTCACATTTTAATACGTTGGTATCAGGATGTGTTGTACAACTGAAAGCATCTTTCATTGAGTTGGTCACGTGATGGCTGTGCTGTAGTTGCATTGCCTGTGCATGTGTGGACTTGGTAGTTCTGTTTGCTTGACAAGATAACTGAAACCCCTATTGTTTCAGTCAGCGATCCATTTGATGACCACCTGAGAAAAGACTGTGAGTCCTGGGTGTAGACTGAATCTTCTGCTGGCATCTATTAGTAAGATTTTCTTGCCAACATCAACACTTGTGGAAAAGTATCAGAAGCTTAGAAGAAAATCCAAAATATTATACTTGAGCACTCTTTTAAGAGCATCACCAATATTCTAGGTGGCAGAGGGCAATATTGTGTGGAAAAACACAATCGTTGGACCTTGTGTTTCGAATCAGTTCGAAAGTGATTCAGAAGAGTGCGTTCTGAATGTGAATGCCTAAACCAAATTATATTAGAATACCTAACCGATTTATTTCACTTAAATTTTCATATTTTCCTTTTTAATGGATATAATAAAACCCATGCCTAAATAAGTTTAATAGAGCTCTTTCAATCAGTATGAAATAAAAAATGTAAATCTTAGTGTTGTATCACAGTTTAATTTGTAACCATTTTTTTCTTATTGTTTATAAAACAGCACTGTCTCTTACAATCAGTGAATTTTAACAATCAATGGTATATGGTAGTGAAGTAGGAAGTCTATTATCAGTATGAATCAAAAGATGAGTTGGAAAGCTAAGGACTGAGGAATGAGTTTAATGATTCTTTTACCCAATAAATATTTACTAAATTTCTACTGTGAGATCGGTGCTGGGCTGGGCATGAGGATAGAGTGTGAACACAACAGACATGATACCTGGGCTCACAAGGAAGACAAGGTATATTGAACAATTAGTTGCATGTATGATGTCACAGAAGAAAACGTGTAGCCTTCTTTGGAAATGTAAATAGGGGAGCTTAAAAAGGTCAAGGGGAGCAGATGGCCTAACTGAGGAAGTGACGTTTAAGTGCAGAATGGAAGGACAAGTAGGAGTTAGGTGGAGGTGAGTGGGGAAGGGGGCATGTAGCCCTGGTAGAGGGAGCAGTGTGAGTTTAAAGCTGGGAGGTGGCAAGGAGTGAGGAGCTGAAGGAAGTCCATGTAGCTGGGCACAGAGTGGAGCAGAGATGAGAGACAAGGCTAGAGAAGTAGGCAGGCATTGGATGATGAAGAGTCTTATAAGTCATGGCAAGGAGGTTGGCCTTTATCCCAAGGGTAAGAGGAAGTTGTGGAAGGGGTTTCAGGTGGGGTATAGTGTGTCATGCTCAAGTTTCAGAATTATCACTCTGGCTGCTGTGCAAAAATGGAGTGTTGTAAGTTAAAGGCAGATGAAGCGAGCATAGTAGTAGTCATCCTCACTTGATTAGAAGGATGGAAGCCAGGATGGGCAGCAGAGTCAAATGATGCAAGGGAATCCTGAAACAAGCGATGGTCCCCATCACTGATTGCATTCCTCAGACGTTATATCCTTAGTTCCCGATAGCCTAGGACAATAACTTTCTTTATTTTTGACAGAGTGACTTCTTCTGACTTGAGCTGGCAGTGTGCTTTGAGAGATCTACCACAGGTAAATACAGAGAAGCTTTCCTCAGGTTTATAAACCATGTTTTTCTCCCAAGACTCCCTAAGACCTAAATCCAACATTTTATTTAATCCTTGCAATAGCCCTATGAGTTATTTGATTTTCATCTTCTACCTTAGGAAATTGAGACACAGAGAGGTTAGACAACTTGATGGGCCTTCACAAAGATGTTCATCACAGCGTAAATTATAATAGCCAAATAAAACAAAACAAAGAGGAGAGAATCTAAATATCCAAGAGTAGGCAAATCAATTATGGTACATCATTTGATGGAGGGACTTAAATAATAGTCTATATCAGATTAAGAAGTTTCTCTTCTATTCCTAGTTTGCTAAAAGTAAATTAGTTCACCTGGATGTTAAATTTATTGAATGCTTTTCTAATTGACTGAGATGATCAAATGATTTTTATCTGTTCATGGTAATTTACATTAATTGATTTTCTAATGTTAAGCTACCTTGCGTTGCTGAGATAAAACCAACTTGGTCTTGACGCATTATCCTTTCTATACTTGCCTAGATTTGGTTTGCTAAGTTTTAGTCCTGAGACTGGATAAAATTTTCCTTTCTCTGGATGGCAACTAGACTTTTGGTGGTGAACACCATGTAATCTATACAGAAATCAAAATATAGTGTACACTTGAAATTTATATAATCTTATAAACCAATGCTATCCCAATAAAAAATTTTTAAAAATTTCTTTTCTGGTAGTTCCCTTGTCAGGAATGGTTTTCAAAATTTTGGAATTACTTGTACTTGAATGTATAATGGAATACATGGTGTTTTCTTTGAGGGAAGAATTTTTACTTACTGATTTAATTTCTGACTTATTAGGTTTTCTGTTTCTTCTTGAGTCAATTTTGGTATGTTTGTTTTTGGTTATATATACGCATTCTGCTGGATATGTACGCAGCAGGGAAATTTCTGGATCATGTGGTAGGTATATGTTCGGCTTCAGCAGATACTATCAAACAGTTTTCCAAAATGGTTGAATTATTTGAAAAATTTACATGCCAACCAGGAGTGCACGAGAGTTCTGATTTGTATTTCCCCATAGACTAATGAAGTTGGGCCCACTTTTATATAATAATTGACCATTTAGACATTTTGTTTTGTGAAAAGCCCTTTCAAGCCTTAAAAAAAAAGGTGACGTGCTTATTCAAGCATTTTGAAAAAAATTGGATTGTCTGTGGTTTACCTTTTCATTCTTTTTTTATGAACAGAAATTCTTTTAAAATAGTGTAAATTATCTGTTTTTTCCTTTGTGGTTAGCACTATTGTGTCCTAGTTAAGAAATCTTGGCCCCGTTCCACCATCACAAAGATGTTTTTTGTTTTCTTCTGAAAGCTATGTTATTTTACTTTTACATTTTGATCTGTAATGCATCTGGAATTGGTTTTATTGTGTGTAATATGAGGTAGAGGGTCAAGATCAATTTTTTCCACGTGGATATGCATTTGACCAAGTGCCAAGTTGCTGTAGCACTATTTATCTATTTATTTATTTTGGTTAGGCTTATTGAGGTATAATTAACACACAATAAAATTCACTCTCTTGAAATGAATGGTTTAATAAGTTTCCACAAATGTACACAGTCATGTAACCACCACAATCAAGATGCAGAACATATCCAACTCCTGAAAGAGTGCCCCTTTGTAGTAGACCTACCTGCTGCCCTGGGCAACAACTCATCTGGTTTCTGTCCCGAGATTTTTTCTTTTTTCAGAATGTATGAATAGTCACATTATATATAGCCTTTTGTTTCAGACTTCTTCCATTCAGCATAAAGTTTTTGAGATTCGTCCATGTCGTTGCCTGTACCAATAGTTTGTAAATTACTAAGTGTGGGATCATTGGGTCATATGGTAAGTGTAGCAAGTATGTATTTAACATTATTAAAAAAAAAATCCTTCCAGTTCTTTCTAAGGTGACTGTGCCATTTTAGATTCCAATCAGCAATATATGAAATTTTAGTCGCTCCACAGCCTCTCCAGCACTTGGTATTATCAGTTTCTGTAATTTTAGCACTTTGAGTTGGTGTGTAGCGTTATCTCGTTATTCCCTTAATTCTCATTTCTCTGGTGATTAATGATGTTGAACATCTTTTCATGTGCTTCTTTGACATCTGCATATCTTCTTTGGTGAGGTGTCTGTTCAAATCATTCACACATTTTAAAAATTAGGTTAGGTATCTTTCTATTATCGATTTACACTAGAATATATTCTGGGTACAAGCCCTTTATCAAATGTGTGCTTTGCAAATACCTTTTCCAAGTCTGTGGCTTGTTTTTTCGTATTCTTAAAAGTGTCATTCAAAGAGCAGAAATTTTTAACTTTCGTGAAGTTCAATTTATTAATCTTTTTTTTTTTCCTTTTATGGGTAGCAGTTTTGTGTCCCAAGAAATTCTTGATAAAATCAAGAATACCAAGATGTTCTTATTTTTTCCTAGAAATTTTATAGTTTTTACGTTTAGTTATATGGCACATTTTGAGATAATTTTTGTATCTGCCGTGAAGTAAGGGTCAAGGTTCAACTTTTTATATGGATGTCCAAATTTTCCCGCACCACATGTTGAAAAGCTAGCCTTTTCCCTTTTAATTACTTGGCACCTTTCTCTCTCTCTCCTTCTTCTAGTGCTCTAATTATGTGCATACTCAATGGTTTGATATTGTTCTACAGCTCTTGGATACTTAAAAAAATTTGTTTCCTTTCTCTTTGGATAATTTCTATTAACCTATTTTTAAGTTTACTGAGTCTTCTCTTTAACTGTGTCCTGTCTCCTCATCAGCCTATCAAAGGAATTCTTTGCTTCTGATATTGCATTTTCATTTCTAGATTTCTACTTCATTCTTTCCTATAGGTTGCATGTCTCTACTGAAATTCTCCATCTTTTCCTCGATTTTATCTTTCTTTTCCACAAGAGCGTTTTACATATTAATCATAGCTGTTTTAAAGTCTGTGTCTGATTGTTCCGATATCTGGGTCATCTCTTTAGTTCTGTTGGTTGCTTTTTCTTGACAATGGCTTGTTTTTCCTTGGTTTTTTGAATGTCTCCTAATTTTAATTGGATGTTGGACACTGTTGGTAGAAGAGCAATTGATAATAAAGTAAATAATATTGCTATCCAGAAATGGGCACACTTCTTTTGCAAAGCTATTGATGTGAGAGGGGTTGAGTCAATCTTGTTAGCAGGTGACAAGATTAGTGGTTAGAAGGGATTTGGGATGTGGTTGGGCTCCTGATTGCTGTAGCTGTCTTCAGCCCACAAGACTCCAAAGTGTTCCAGCGGTGGACTGTAGTTACTTCATGCTTAGTGTGGCCTGTGGGCCAGAGGTTTTTCTCACTATCCAAACTCCATCCTTAGCTTTCAGCAGACCCCTCCCACGTGTTGCACTGTGGAGATCTTTCTCCATGTTTGTGTTCCTCTCTTAGCAGTGGACTGCTCTTGCTCATTGCTAAGTGCAAAGCTGTGGCTGTGGTGGTGGGATTCTCAGTTGTCCTGGTCCAGCCTCAGTCTTGGGCAGGCCTGTGTGTCTAGGCCCTGGGACTGGGGCTTTGTCCTTGTTCCTGTTCCTCTTCATGGCAGCCAGTCTCTGCCTCATATCTGTGGGTGTCTTGGGTGCGAGAGATTTGCCTTTGCCTCCCTGAGTGGTAGCAGACCTCTTCTTTGTGTCAGTGCTGGATCCTGGGCCTGAGAGTTGCTTGTCCTTCCAACAGGGCTAATGGCTTTTGCTTCTATCCTTCCCAAGAATCAGTGGAGCTTTGCTTGAACCTTGGGAGTGGGAAGGTTTTCTGCTCCTCTCCCATGGTTTAGAGCTTATGCTTAATGGGAAACAAAGTTCTGGGAAGTGGATGGGGTTCCTTGCCTGTGCCCCCCTGAAGGGAACACTCTTCAGTCTCCAACCCTGCCCTATTCCTTCTCTTGAGTACCTGCTGGAGACCCATGGAAAAAAGTTCCAGAGAGGCTCCCAGGGATTCCATACTATTGTACTAGCCCATACTTGCCCTTTAAGGAAGAATTCACTAAAATTTCAGCTGTTTTCTTCTTACCTGCTTTTATGACGGCCACCTCTTCCTACTGTGCTTTATCAAAGGTGACAGTTTGTGTGTCCTGTTTCTCCTTGGAGGCTCATGTCTTTCTCTAAATTAGTTCACCTGGTTGTCTTGTAACCTTAGCTCTCTCATGGGCTCGATACAAGTTATGATTTTGTTGATTCTGCAGCCTTTTCTCACTGGTAGGACGGCAGTGATATTCTCTGTGGCTTTCTCTCTCTCAAGTGGCTGCTGAGCTCTGCTGCAGCTTTTGAAGTGCCACTAGTATTAAAGGAAACTTTGGTTGTAAATAAAAATGCCAGTCAGAAATGGGTGAAAGCTGAATCAAAAGAAGGCAATAAAACCACAAGTCAAAACTTAACAGGAAAACTGAGAGGACTTAAACTGTCTTTGTCTTTTGAGTTGGCCGTACTTGGCATTCCTCCTTTATCCTTCTCAGGAAATACCTGCCTGCAGTGACAGGAACAGCAAGATGGAATAGCTTCATTCTGAGGTCTAGGGTAAGGGAAAGAGGAAGATGGCTCTCCCTGCCGTAATTGCCTTCGTGAGACGGAGAAGAGAAAGGGAGACAAGTGAAAAGAAGACGAGAAAGAGACTGCATAACAGGCCCTCTGGTGGCTTTCAGCTTCTCAGAAAAGGAGTGTGAACGGAAAGATCCGAAAGAACTCCAGATGTCCATGGGGCCAAGGAGTGCATCATCATAATTCCAGACAGGTCTTAATGATTCCCCAGCCATCTCGGGAACAGTCCCCTTGACTTTCAGCTTGGATATATTTAACTTTGTACATCCTAATGATTGCTATGTATATGTGTGTGTCACACACACAATATCTTATTCTGTATTATGACATATTGTGACAGTTGTGTTAAATTTGTTGCTTTATATATTTTTCTCCACTCCTGCCTCTTCTACTCCACCCTTTCTACTCCGT